ATGGCCTCATGCTGTGCACGGAGAGGTATGTATGGGTACGCGGACGCCGGTCTGCGATTGCTGTGTTTCGCTCGTGCAGGCCTGACGCGACCCGGCTACCGTCTGCATGCGAGTAACGTTAGCGTTTTCGTTAATGCTTCCATATGTTAATGTTGACGTTTGTTGGAAAGTCAAATGGTATGTTCGTTTCTAGTAGCCTGGTACTTGCAGGGGCTCCGCCAAGGTGTCCAAGTTGGGGGGACCAACGATGAAAAATGGGTGAGAATATTGCAATAGCTTTGTCCCTGTCGGTAACACCTGACAAGCCGGGTACCACATTCCTCCGACCCGTAAAGGGACGTGTTCTGTTGCCCAGTTAGTCCACAGCTTGGCCGTGCACTTGTGATAGGTCAACTTGTGGTGGATTTGCCATTTTAGGCAGGGAATAGCTGTGTATTTTTTTTTTTTGTCGTGGATAATGTGGCACTCGGCCTGTAGAGCTTCAGCACACCAGCCGCAGTTTGAGAAACGCTTCCCAATTGCCATTTTACCTCTGAGGGATATTTGGTGTAAAAATCGCCTGTTTGGACAAGGACAAGGATCCGCCCCAAATGACAGCTCCTGGTGTCTGCAACAAGCCCATCTAGCTGATAAGCCGATGGGAAGCCCATCTTGGGAAGTTCGGCCCCTAGTGTACATTGGTCTGTGGGACTTCCAACACCACGCTAGACCCATCTGGTGTTAATTGCCTTGTTTACGTGTGACAGTGCGGTTGCATTTATTTTGCTAATGACTGATGTCTTAAGACTTGATGCTGAGTTACCTGTTGATCACATTTTATGTGATAGCTGTCATGTGTTCTTGCTGCAATAACCATGCTCAAGCTTTATATTTGCTTTATGAGCAGGGTGTTAACGGAAAGGAGGGCAATAATGCCACAAAACCAAGTATATTTTGCGGCTCGCTCTGTCGCCGCGCTATTTCTGGACGCGTGGCGCCGCGCGACACGCCGCCGCCATTCGCCGCGCCTGCCGCGTCTGACTGACGCCCGCTTGCCGCCGCCGGCAGACATTCCCGGAAGCGCTGGGAGCGGTTCGTGCACGCCGACAACCAGCACCTGGTGTCGGCCGAGGCGCTCGACTTCCTCGACAAGCTGCTACGCTACGATCACCAGGAGCGGCTGACGGCCCGCGAGGCCATGGAGCACCAGTACTTCTGTGAGTGACTATCTCCGGCTGGGCCGGCGGTAGCCTGTCGGCCTCGCCGGCCCGTCGCATCCGGCGCCACTGGTGCCGCAGCGGTGGGTCGGCGCGCGGGTGTAATAGCTGGCGGCTGGCGGAACGTGGGGTGCGGTGGGGCTGCAGCGGTGGGTCGGCGCGCGGGTGTGATGGCTGGCAGCTGGCAGAACCGAGGGTGCTTTGTCCAAGGTGTCCAAGAAGACGGTGCGGTGCGGCTGCAGCGGTCTGAGCCCGAGGTTACGTGCAGTGGGAGCTGTCTCACACTCTGGCTGCATACTGCTGGCTCCTGCGCAACTTGGCGGTGTCGATGCTACGTAGCTAAATTATGTCGGCAGCTGTGGCAGGAGTCTGCCAGCAGCCAGCTCAAACTGACGTTTTTGGATCATGTTTCGGCCATAATGAAGCCATATGTCAAAACGGGGGAGGATTTATGAATAACGTTTGCTGGTATCGCCACAGTGCTCGCCAGCTGTCTCCATGATGAGTAAATATTTAATTATATCTTGCTTTAATGCGGACCGCCTGGTTTCGTCACCATGATCGTGGTCGGGGGTTTACGACACACCCAACAGCTGGTGCTATATGGCATCGCCTGACTCATGTTGACATGAAGGGTGGGCACCATGGGGAATCGAACCTCTCGCCTTTGGTTTCCCAGACGCGCACTGTGATTACTGCGCCACTGACACTCAGGCGGCTGTCATGGTTGTTGGCGGGTTGTTTGATCGTCGAACGCCCACCCCTGTAACGAGGTGCCGATTGGCTAGGGAGGATATTTTTACCTGTTCACACCTACTGTTATTCCTTAATATTAGGCAGAGGTTGCACGAGTGGAAAATGCAGCCTATGGGAGAGGCCCGATTGCTGTCACTCAACCATAATTGACCAAGTTGTGAGCGTTTGAACAGCACGTTGGCCGCTGCTCAATGCTATCCATTTGAAGACAGTTGAAGATATTTAAGCCCAAAAATTCATCGTACTTGTAAGAAGCGTACATTTATCATGTGCTTAAGTATTGACTTTTGTCACCGTTTTCTGCATTCAGGCCGATATCCTGTCTACTTGTGGTAAATTAAACTTGACTTTTGCTGCTGGTACAAGACAACTGCGCTGCCTGAAATCAAAGAAGATGTGAGGCATGAATAGATTGCGAACCATACCTTTTCAATTCCACGATTCGTAGCTAACAGGAAGTGATATCATCACAGCTCCAGAAAAATGTGATATGCTAGTATTTATGTCCGAATTTGAAGTGCGAACCTGAATTTGAAGTTTGTGTTCCATATGGTCATGCGGATCGAGTAACTGTGGTTTCCTGGATGTCCTCGAGTGGGATATTTCAGGGACGGGGAACTGGGCCAGAGAGCTATCGCTTATAGTAGTTATGAAGTTTCAATGGCGTGTCAAATGCATCGGTCATTTGCACCCTTTACGTCTTACGTAAGAGTTGTGGGATGTGGTATCTCGCGAATATGGTAAAAGATAGAAAATTGGACTTCAGCAAGCTTGACACGCCCTGGCGGTGTCGTATTTCTGTAAATGGAGCAGCTTAGCAGCTTCTGTTTTATTACAGTTTTCAGTCGTTTGTGCCACTTTTTCCGGGCATGGCGTAGGGACGGCCTGCTCAGGCATAGCTCAGGCCTGCTTAGGCTCAGGTACCGCTCCACGTACGCCTAAACTTTGGCACGGCACCGTGCCTGTATTGACTTACAGGTAATGTTCCACATCAAAAGGTGTTGAAGCAAGCACGGCGTATGATGAAACAGGCTCACTTATAAATATTGGCGTACTTTTGTATTGCAAAGGACGGCTCAAAGCAGCACGATTCTCCGTTAACTGGATATGCTTCTCAATGTGCCATGGTTTGGTTACGTCGTCGTTCCTTGCACAACATTGATTAAGAGCCTTGTTGAGCCAACATTGAATGACAGCCAAAGTGGTGGCTGTTATATCCGGAAATCGCACTCACGGACGCCAGACATAAACACCTCGACAATTTTATTTGTATTGGTCTTGATCCCCGTGTAGCTTATGCAACAGCAGGATCTGAATGACGCTGTCATGACGTCGTGAATGCCAAGGTGACTTTGCAATACTCTACCCGAAATGCTTCCCCATTTCCACGCGCGTGTAGCTCAGAAACCTGAGTGGCGTACGTCTTAAGGACAGGGTTGTGAACAGCACCGGAATGTCGTCGAGATGGCTATTTCAGTTCATAGCCCCATGTAAAGGTGGAGCACTCCCTTTAACTTGCGACTTTGTAGCTAACTGTACAGTTGTGAGACGGATAGAATGGATCGGATGTAATAAGAAGGGACTTTGTCGAAAATAGTCCGATGATAAATAAAACCGAAACAGCACCATTCGTGAAGCCAGAATTTTGGTGTCCATCTGAATGGATGTATGTCTTTGTCACGCGGTTGTATGATAATGTGTCTCCCGACTTAAGACTCGATTATGAGGATTGAGACCTCTATTTCATCTTCAATCGTGGAAGACCCGGTCGTGTTTCTGACCCAGTCCCTGTTCTAGACCCAATCGCCAAGGACGCGGTCCCTGTTCTAGACCCAATCGCCAAGGACGCGGTCCCTGTTCTAGACCCAATCGCCAAGGACGCGGTCCCTCTAGACCCAATCGCCAAGGACGCGGCCCCTGTCGTCGCAGACCCGATCGTGAGGGAAGCGTCCCGCATTTCAGACGAGATCGTGACGGTCGTGGCCCCTGTTTCAGACGAGATCGCGATGGTCCTGGTGTCTGGTTTAGACCCGATCGTGACGGTCTCTGCGTCTGTTTCAGACCCGATCGTGATGGTCCTGGTCCCTGTTTCAGATACGATCGTGATGGTCCTGGTGTCCGTTTCAGACGAGATCGTGACGGTCCTGGTGTCCGTTTCAGACCCGATCGTGACGGTCCTGGCCCCTGTTTCAGACCCGATCGTGAAGGACTCTGCGCGCCAGCAGTCCATGTCCTCGTCGCCGACGCCAATGTCGAGTGCCGTGGCCGGCGCGCTGGTGGCCAACTCTGTGGGCGGCGGTCTGCCCAGCTCGCCCATCCTGTCGCCCGGCGCGCCACCGCTGGCGGCCGCCACCAGCAACCAGTGAGCCGGCCGGCCGGCCCGGCAACCCACCAACCAGCCGACCAGGCGACCGGCCGGCCGGCCAGCGGGCCGAGAGCCGTGAGGGGCGGCCCGCGCCGCGGCGGTGGGCCGGCTGACTGGAGCTGTGATCCCTCGGCGTGCCGCCCCGATCCGACCTGACCTGACCCGACCCGACCCGAGGCCGCGGCAGTGATGGCGGCGCCGCCCCGCCTCGGCAGACTGTACATGTTTGCAAATATTTAACATTTTCCATCGGTTTTGTTGAGCGACGGTGTCCCACTGGTGTCGACAGCAGCTAGTACGCGGTGGCCGCGGTGCGCGCGCGGGCGCCGCGGCGGCGGCGAGCTGGACAGGGACCAGGCGGGCGTCCCCCGGCTGGCGCCGAGTCGCCTCCGCCGGAGGCCGCGGCGGCCTGTCGGGCGCGCGGGCAGAATTGAATAAAGTCGAATTTGAAAGTGGCTCGGCGCGGTGTTTGGGAGGCGCATGGCGCTGCGGCACGGGCAGCTGTCCGCCGGAAGTGGGCGGCTTCCGGGCGCGGCTCTGCGGCCGTGATGATCCGGGAGGGTGAAGGCTGTGCAGGATGTTAGCTATCTCTGCATCTCGCCGTGACTTTCCGGTTGGTAACGCAAATGGCCTTGGTACGAATCGCGATGTCCGCATGGTACATATGGAAGCTGATTTGTAAAACGCTGCAGTTAGTGGTCACAAAAACCGATTGCTGTATTATGTACCGGTCAGCGGGAAGGAAAAATATTCCTGCATGCGAACAGTGACACCGAAGATACCGTTCTTCGGTGCGCCGAGGAACCAGCGGACAAATTCACCATCAGAAAAACTTAATTGACAGTAAACGAGCGATGCCACCTACTGCCTCGCCTCGCCCACTGCCTCGCCTCGCCTACTGCCTCGCCTCGCTGTTTGTCGGCGCCGCGAGCAAACGTCGCGTGCCGCGCTACGGTCTCTCAAGCTTCACAAATAACGTAACTGCGCGCTGCTGACCACTCACTGATCAGGTTAATCCGCGTTCTGCAGTAACCTAATAACGTAAGCGTGCATTTCTTCCGTTGCAGACCAGCGCAGCAGCCGTGTTTCCCCGTAGCGCACGTTTGATGCAGATGGACGTCCGCCAGCCCTTGCTGGTGTTCGACGGGTCATTTTGCCGGCTTGCCCAGTGGAAATGCCGGGAAGAAGCGTCGATGTCCTACGGGTGTTACAAGCAGGGAGACACGGAAATTTGGCGGCAGCTCGCCTACTCCACACGAGGCACAATATATTGACGCGTCAAGAACGATTACAACGCAGCGGCGATCGGGGTGGGCGGCGCCACAGTCGAGGTCGGGCCTGCTGCTATTGGGTAGCGAGGGTGGCGGCCACGGAGTCGAAGCCGGCCTGTAGGGCGAGCTCGGCCGGCGTCAGGCCCTCGGCGTTGGTGAGCTCGGGGCGCGAACCCGCCTCCAGCAGCAGCTGAACGGCCGTCACGTGACCAAACATGGCGGCCGCGTGCAGCGCCGACTCGCCGTTCTGCGCGAGGAAGGTTAGCACAGTTGGTGTACTGCCCGTTTCAGATCCTACCCGTCCTAGTCGTGGTACTTTTCCTCGCTCCCGGCTCGCGATCCCACGTGGGCGGAGGCCCCGTGGTGCGCATAACACCGCGCTTGGAATCGTGCGCTGGCTGTCATCTCAACACTGATAGTCAGATCGGAAACCCTTGTAATCGACCAACGAACGAACCGGCCAGGGTAAACAACAAGCAGATGGTGCGGACGGATGATGCGGACACCAGGTTGACACAGTTTAAAAGCCACTGAAAACGCCGACCTGGTCGACTGGCCGAGGCCGACCTCGCCAACCTGGTCGACTGGCCGAGGCCGACCTCGCCAACCGACCGAGGCCGACCGAGGCCGACCGAGGCCGACCTGGCCGACCGACCGAGGCCGACCTGGCCGACCGACCGAGGCCGACCTGGCCGACCGACCGAGGCCGACCTGGCCGACCGACCGAGGCCGACCTGGCCGACCGACCGAGGCCGACCTGGCCGACCGACCGAGGCCGACCTGGCCGACCGACCGAGGCCGACCTGGCCGACCGACCGAGGCCGACCTGGCTACGTACCGGAAGGATTGCCAGGCTCGGTGAGTACCGCAGGAGCGCCCTGATGACCTCAACATGACCTTTGTGCGCCGCCTTGAAGAGTGCAGTTGCACCGTCCTGACAGAAGAAAGCGCACACAATCAGCTCCACATTCTAAGCAACATGCACGGCGTGAGATCTAAATAACGTAAACATAGTTCCCAGCCTGCTCCGCGAATGGCAATTCGTCCTCCCGTGTCAGGCACGTGCTGCGAATCGCCGGGCGTATCGTGCGGCGCGAGGTGTGCATTGTGGGCCTCCACTCACGTGGCGCATTGTGGGCCTCCACTCACGTGGCGCATTGTGGGCCTCCACTCACGTGGCGCATTGTGGGCCCCCACTCACGTGGCGCATTGTGGGCCTCCACTCACGTGGCGCATTGTGGGCCTACACTCACGTGACGCATTGTGGGCCTCCTCTCACGTGGTGCGTTCCGGGCCTCTACTCACGAGGTGCATTGTGAGTCCCTACTTACGTGGCGCGGCGTGTCCACGTGGGTGCCAGCTTTCAGCAGGTGTTGCACCACCCTGCTGTGGCCCATCTGGGCGGCGATCCACAGGGGTGTGGCGCCATCCACCCTGTGGACGCGGCTGCCGCTCAGTGCGCGTCGTGACGCGATTTCCGTCGAGTCAAGCAAGGCATCGCGTCCACATATTCACCCAAAACACTGACCGCAAATTCCGGTGTCATCTCGACCACACGGATGATAATGTTACACGTGTTTGTCGCATATCGATATGCAAATGTCGTCATGCAGATGTCAGGCACAGAACACCGGGCACGCGTGCAGGTTACGCGCGTTACTACGTGTGGTGCGAATCAGGCAGCATGGGTCCTCGCACTGCCCACCTGGCCTGCTGCGGGTCGGCGCCGGCCGCGGTCAGCAGTGCTGCCACCTCGCGGTGACCGTTCTGGGCTGCCAGGAACAGCGGCGTTGACCGGTCCTGGAGCAGAGCATGCGCCGATGTCACGTAAAGCCCCGTCCCCTCATTTTTCGCGGTCATCGATGCGTGATGACGAAACGCGGCGCTGACAAGTGAGAACCGCGATGCTGATAAACGGCGGATCGAGCAGACATCGACAGACAGACAGACAGACAGACAGACAGAGCAGAGGAGACGAGCAAACAGAGATCGAGCAGAGCGTATAAGTGTCGAGCCCGATGTTATCATGATTGCTTATTGTCGCTCTTGCTAAAGGGACAAAACATTGGAGTTGTTGTCAACTGGGAACGGCCAACAAAGTAACAACTGAATGCGTTGTCGGGGTATTTATTTGTCATTTGTGCGCTTGTTTGAGCACCATATCGCAGTCATTAATATCGTCGTCATTATGACCACAGCGCACTTAATTGCGCTCAGGCCGGCAACAAAGGCATGCAGGGCTCTCACTTGTCGAGCGGTGTCTATAGCGTGTCTAGTGTAGCCCGCGGAGCCCCGCTGACGGAGCGGACCGCTGGGGGCTGTGTCAGGCCAGGTCAGGTCAAACTAAGTCAGACCAGGGCAGGTCATGGAGCCCGGTTTACCTTCATGCGGAGGTGCACACTGGCAGACGCCTGCAGCAGCTCGCGGACGCAGACCACGTGGCCGCACTGGCTGGCCACGAACAGCGCTGTAGCGCCGTCCTGCGCACAGCACCACCAGCCGTCAGCAGCTGGCGCCACGTCATCGCGCGTCAGGAGGCGCCCGTGAGTCTGCGTCACGTGACACTCTGTATAGCATTATCCGGAGCTAGCTAGCATTGGTCCAACAAGCGTCTGGCCAACAAAGGCCTGCAAGCGCATGTCCAACAAACTCAAGGAAGCGGGTAGGACGTCAGTCAACCCTCGCCGTTACTACGATGCTCAGCCATCACCTCTTTTCATTACCGCTGCAGATATCGGGACGTGCATTAGTTGCCTCAGCCGCCTGGCCGTCAGATCTCACCGCTGTCACGAGGTCAGGTCTGCCGCCGTGGCGCAACAGGTACCGCAGCACCTCCACGTGCCCGCCCTGGGCGGCGAAGAAGACGGACGTCGCCCCCGTCTGCTGGCAAAGAGCGTGATCACTTATCAGCCGCCACCGCCGCCGCCGGATGCGATGACAGGCCGGCTCCAATCCGGCTATTAAGATCATCTGTCGCGGCGGCGGCGCCGAGCGGCGGTGATTACCGCGGCGGCCTCGGCCGGCCTCCGCCGGTGATTGCCGCGCGCCGGCGATGAGTACCGTTCGCAGCCGGCCCCGCCCGTACCCGGGGCCGAGCGGCGAGGCGTGGAGCGCCAGTGCGGCGCGCGTGCGTCGAATACCCGCCCACTGGCCGGCGAGGACGCCGCCGATGTCCGACGACGAGCCGGCCCGCACCGGAGAACGGCGCGGCGACGCGGGACCGCGCGCAAGCCTCCACTGAGGGGGGCACCAAGCGCGGTGTTGGCACTGACAACACAGCGCGGCCCTTGCCACCGGTGTCGTCGGCAAGCCGAGGCCAATGCGGCGCAGATGCTGATTTCCGTCAGCGAAATCCGACCGCGGAAGGCACCAACCGTAACAGTGTCGGCTCGGCGACTAAAGTCCTTCATGTCATGAGCGTGGCCACGTCCCAGAACCTGCGATAAGGACCTGGGAGGTAGCCTGACCTCAACTGGCGTAGCTTTTTTGACGGGGAACCGCTACGCTGTGCGATAAACATGGCTCTTGCGACATTCTGCACAGGCAAGTCCGTTTGGGCAAAATTAGAGGGAACATGACCCCAGGCTCCGCTCAGCGGCTTCAGCCACCAGCTCGACAGAAATGTACCGAGACCGTGTTGTGCGACGTCGTCTGTATTGCTGACGTCATTCGTGGGCCCTTTTGTTTTGTCGCCTGTTATGATTTTGATACCAAGTCTACCAAAAATAAAAGGCAGGAACAGTGACCGATTCGCTTCAATTGGTTGTTGTGTTTGGAGGTGTGTTAGTGGCATTAATATATTCTATGACTACATCGCAATTGCGGTTGAAATGGCGTGGGGCACTCACGCTGCACGAATTTTCAGAGCCACACAATGGCCACATAACACAACTGCCAACCATGGCAGTGTACCCCCAATGGGCGCCAGCCCAGATTCGAGCAGGATTTAACGCAAGCGCATGTGCTCCGGTGCTCCGAAGTCCTGCCACGACGCATTTACGACACCTGGTCCAGTGGGCTCTCGCGCATACAGCGCCAGCTCGATCCTTCGCCGCCCATCGGGCCGCATCGTCCACCACCGGAGGGACCGACCGAGGGAGCTCTCACCTTCCTCCGTCGGCTGGCGTCGGCACCCTGCTGAATGAGCTCCTTCACGCAGGCCAGATGCCCGTTGGCCGCCGCCAAGATCAGTGGAGTGGTGCCCTCCTGACGGAGGACCGAGAGGTGACGCCGGCTATGTGTGGAGCTGAACCGAGACGAGGCGTAAACCCGGCACGTGGGGGGCCGAACGGAGCCAGCGCTCTACGCTGGGTGGGGCCATGTTGAGCTCGATGATGTCTGGCGTCAACGGTGGATGACGGGCCAAAAGATGCACTGACGTTAAGTCATATATATTCATTGCAGCGCCTAAATGTTTCGGAATGAATTTGTGTAATTTCCCTCTCAGAGATGGCGGTACATACCGCAGGCCCATTGGCCGCCAGCCTTCTTCACTTTTTAACAACCTAAGTTCACATATCATTTGTACTATTGCCAAAAAATAATCAGCGCCATTATCTCATCATCTATGCATAAAATGAGGGGAACGAAAGAGGCCACGTCTCTTTTCTTGCGCAAGTTTGGTGTTGATCCTTTGACAACCCACACAAAATAGTCTGCTTGATCTTGGTTTTGACCCTGTCCTACACCTACCCTCTGTGGGCGCTTTCTCATCCCAATACCACCAGCGCACGAGCCCAGACGGCCGGTACGTCCAGCGCCGGTCGGTGACGCCCGGCCGCCACGTGACCGCCGCACGCAGACCGCCGTCCGAGCCGGCCGCGGTGCCGCCGCATTGTCACGGCTTCCGGGCAGCGTGAGAGGCGGCGCGCCGCTTCCCACGCCGGCGGCGAGCGCTGGACGGTCGACCGGAACGGCGGGCCGGCCCGGCACGGGCGGCCGACCGCCGGCGGCTTTCGCGGCGCCGGAAGCAGAGGCCGAGTGCCGACGGCCTGCTCAGCTGAGACCGATCAACCGACGGTCTCCTCAGCAGAGACCGATCAACCGACGGTCTCCTGAGCAGAGACCGATCAACCCACGGTCTCCTCAGCAGAGGCTGACCGAACGGCGATTTCCTCCAGAGCAAAGGCAGACCAGCTGGTGATTCCCTTCCTCAGCCGAGGACATTGGTGTTTTCGGCAGAGGTCTATTGGCATGGTCTGCTCTGCAGACACAGGGATGAGTTCGGAATCGCAGTGTGGTCCCTGGGGCTCCCTGTGCTGTGCCGCCTCCCTGGGACCGGGCCCGGGTGGGCTGTCTGGCTCAGTGTGGGACCGGGCCCGGGTGGGCTGTCTGGCTCAGTGTGGGACCGGGCCCGGGCGGGCTGTCTGGCTCAGTGTGGGACCGGGCTCGGGCGGGCTGTCTGGCTCAGTGTGGGACCGGGCCCGGGCGGGCTGTCTGGCTCAGTGTGGGACCGGGCTCGGGCGGGCTGTCTGGCTCAGTGTGGGACCGGGCCCGGGCGGGCTGTCTGGCTCAGTGTGGGACCGGGCCCGGGCGGGCTGTCTGGCTCAGTGTGGGACCGGGCCCGGGCGGGCTGTCTGGCTCAGTGTGGGACCGGGCCCGGGCGGGCTGTCTGGCTCAGTGTGGGACCGGGCCCGGGCGGGCTGTCTGGCTCAGTGTGGGACCGGGCCCGGGCGGGCTGTCTGGCTCAGTGTGGGACCGGGCCCGGGCGGGCTGTCTGGCTCAGTGTGGGACCGGGCCCGGGCGGGCTGTCTGGCTCAGTGTGGGACCGGGCTCGGGCGGGCTGTCTGGCTCAGTGTGGGACCGGGCCCGGGCGGGCTGTCTGGCTCAGTGTGGGACCGGGCCCGGGCGGGCTGTCTGGCTCAGTGTGGGACCGGGCCCGGGCGGGCTGTCTGGCTCAGTGTGGGACCGGGCCCGGGCGGGCTGTCTGGCTCAGTGTGGGACCGGGCCCGGGCGGGCTGTCTGGCTCAGTGTGGGACCGGGCCCGGGCGGGCTGTCTGGCTCAGTGTGGGACCGGGCTCGGGCGGGCTGTCTGGCTCAGTGTGGGACCGGGCCCGGGCGGGCTGTCTGGCTCAGTGTGGGACCGGGCCCGGGCGGGCTGTCTGGCTCAGTGTGGGACCGGGCCCGGGCGGGCTGTCTGGCTCAGTGTGGGACCGGGCCCGGGCGGGCTGTCTGGCTCAGTGTGGGACCGGGCCCGGGCGGGCTGTCTGGCTCAGTGTGGGACCGGGCCCGGGCGGGCTGTCTGGCTCAGTATGGGACCGGGCCCGGGCGGGCTGTCTGGCTCAGTGTGGGACCGGGCCATGGTGGGCTGTCTGGCTCAGTGTGGGACCGGGCTCGGGCGGGCTGGCTGGCTCAGTGTGGGACCGGGCCCGGGCGGGCTGTCTGGCTCAGTGTGGGACCGGGCCCGGGCGGGCTGTCTGGCTCAGTGTGGGACCTGACCCGGGAGGGCTGTCTGGCTCAGCGTGGGACCGGGCCCAGGCGGGCTGTCTGGCTCAGTTTGGGACCGGGACCGGGTGGGAAGTTTGGCTCAGTGTGGGATCGGGCCCAGGCGGGCTGTCTGGCTCAGTGTGGGACCGGGCCCGGGTGGGCTGTCTGGCTCAGTGTGGGACCGGGCCCGGGCGGGCTGTCTGGCTCAGTGTGGGACCGGGCCCGGGCGGGCTGTCTGGCTCAGTGTGGGACCGGGCCCGGGCGGGCTGTCTGGCTCAGTGTGGGACCGGGCCCGGGCGGGCTGTCTGGCTCAGTGTGGGACCGGGCCCGGGCGGGCTGTCTGGCTCAGTGTGGGACCGGGCCATGGTGGGCTGTCTGGCTCAGTGTGGGACCGGGCTCGGGCGGGCTGGCTGGCTCAGTGTGGGACCGGGCCCGGGCGGGCTGTCTGGCTCAGTGTGGGACCGGGCCCGGGCGGGCTGTCTGGCTCAGTGTGGGACCTGACCCGGGAGGGCTGTCTGGCTCAGCGTGGGACCGGGCCCAGGCGGGCTGTCTGGCTCAGTTTGGGACCGGGACCGGGTGGGAAGTTTGGCTCAGTGTGGGATCGGGCCCAGGCGGGCTGTCTGGCTCAGTGTGGGACCGGGCCCGGGTGGGCTGTCTGGCTCAGTGTGGGACCGGGCCCGGGCGGGCTGTCTGGCTCAGTGTGGGACCGGGCCATGGTGGGCTGTCTGGCTCAGTGTGGGACCGGGCTCGGGCGGGCTGGCTGGCTCAGTTTGGGACCGGGCCCGGGCGGGCTGTCTGGCTCAGTGTGGGACCGGGCCCGGGCGGGCTGTCTGGCTCAGTGTGGGACCTGACCCGGGAGGGCTGTCTGGCTCAGCGTGGGACCGGGCCCAGGCGGGCTGTCTGGCTCAGTTTGGGACCGGGACCGGGTGGGAAGTTTGGCTCAGTGTGGGATCGGGCCCAGGCGGGCCGTCTGGCTCAGTTTGAGACCGGGCCCGGGTGGGAAGTCTGGCTCATCTGAGCGGTCGGTTGTCGCACGAGCCCGTGACCGAGACCTAAGCCGGCAGTGTTTTGTCTGCTATGTTGAGTCTGTGCGTTTATCCCCCGCATAATTATGCTGACTAGAATTCGCATTATATCCCAGCTGGATCCGTCCCGACATTTATGTACACAAGCCAGGCATGCGCCGACATTCAACGGGTCTACATTTCGGCTCTTCAATTCTCATCACCTCCTGGGTTTTGCCCAGATGAAATGCATGGAATTCCGTTTGGTGACGTTTGCAATTCGAGCAGGAGTACAGCCGCTGAGTGCTGCGGCTATTTTATCAATATGTCGTGTAACTGAATCCAGTCGTTTGTTGGGGCGCGTCTGCAGTATCTAACGCATAATCTCCGTAAATGTCAGCCGTAATTAGCGGTGGTTTCCGGTGTTTTGACAATACTGATAGTGCAGCTGTCTCTACCTACAGCATGAAACTTTGTAATACCCCTAGGACACACATATATACATATATATATATATATATATATATATATATATATATATATATATATATATATATATATGATAGAAGCAATATCCTTATTCATAGGAGAAAATCCAGCGTAATGAAAATATAGATGCGTTGGATGCGTTAATGTGAGATATAGACGTGTTATAGATGTGTCTCCTGGTTTTTCTCCGACGAATAAGACTATTACTATTGTCTTTTCTTTGTGAATAATGTTCCCCACGAGTGCAACTTAATTTGTTTCTAGGACATTCGAAGGATGAAGGTATGCCACCAAACAACTCCGGCAGCCACCGCCTGTGACCTAATTCACGCCTCATCATGCGACACGGGTTATGGATCATGCCAACCAGTTATGTTGGGGGGGTATTCCAGACGATGGGCATAGCAGCGCAACGCAACTGGTTTCGGCTCGACAGAAAAGCGGGAGCCCTTTAACTTTCGTTCGTTATTTCCAAACTGTCGGTGTTCGCAGCCCCGGCCCCGCCGCCCTGCTGTGCAACGGCCAGAACGGCACGCAGCGAGCGGGGATGCGGCGGGCTCGAGATTCGTCACGCGTGGGTTCGATTCCCACCTGAGGCGTCATATGTCTTCGACAAAGGGGAAGCTTTACCGCCAGATGGCCGCGTTGTGGCCTTGCCAACGAAGGCTAAGTCATCAGTACGTTAGACTCACAGCGGGGGAGGTACAACCTTGTTCAGCACCACCTGGTACTACTCATATAAGTGCTCCTAATTACTTCTTACTTCAGTTACTAACTTCTACTAACTACTACTACAACTACAACTACTACTGACTACTCATCATACACTTGACCGCCTGTCAGGGTCAGTGTCAATGAATGGCAGACAGGAAACCGCGCATAGCGCAGTTTCTGGCCCTGGCGCCATTCCAGCAAACAATGCATGTCATGGCGTAGCTAAACATGCAAACAAATGTGAAGGCTTTCTGCACAGATCAAAGCACTTAAGCATACATGATCAATATATCTTAAATGAACTTCTCACCCGAGCGCACTCTGCCTGCCCGCCGCCCGCGTCGGCCTCACCTGGTCAGCGCAGTCCACGTGCACGCGGCCCGAGTCCAGCACGCTCCTGCACAGCGTGACGTCACCGGTGATGGCGGCCCGGTGCAGGGTGGCGTCTGCCCGGCTGTCCTTCTGCGGGGCACCGGCACAGTGGTAGCCGGTCAGGCACAGGGTTAGACGGTCCGGCGCCGGGTCAGCGGTCCGGTGCCGGGTCAGCGGTCTGGTGCCGGGTCAGCGGTCCGGTGCCAGGTCAGCGGTCCGGTGCCGGGTCAGTCGGTCCGGTACCGGGTCAGCGGTCCGGTACCGGGTCAGTAGTCCGGCGCCGGGTCAGCGGTCCAGTACCGGGTCAGCCGGTCCGGTACCGGGTCAGACGGTCCAGTGCTGGGTCAGCGGTCCGGTGCCGGGTCAGGCTGTCCGGTGCTGGGTCAGTGGTCCGGCGCCGTGTCAGCGGTATGGTGCCGTGTCAGCCGGTCCGGTGCCGGGTCAGCGCTCTAGTGCTGGGTCAGCGGTCCGGTGCCGGGTCAGCGGTCCAAGCGGTCCGGCGCCGACGACGCCGGGTATTGGGGCTCGGGCTCATGAGGTGCCGGTTGGCGAGCGTGGCGGGGCAGGCGAGAGCGGGTGCATTCGCGCATATAATGTTTTTCCTCAAGGGGGGCAATGCCATTTTCCCCAAATCCTGATAATTTGGACTAAATTCCTGCAAAACTACCTAGCGTCTACTGTAAACTTCTTGACTTATGAGCGGGGATGGAGGACGCTTCCCCTTGCCCTCGCCTTGGCTACGTCCCTAAACATTTGCATTTTGCAGATGTCTGGATTTTATGTGCGGTTGGAGGTACGTTACCAAAGCAGTTGCTGAGCGTGCAAAATTAAAGTTAGTCTCCCTCGCAGATGTCACGCATCCTACCCAGTCGGGGAAACCGCAGAACCACCGGAGCCGCCGGAGCTCTAATCCCTTAACAGGGTCATCACAGTCATCTTCCCTCCTTTCCCGACTCGTCGCTTCATTCTGAACCCTCGCAGGTCCCTCCGGGGCAGGCTGAGGCCGTCAGTCACGATCCGGCTGAGGTGACGCCCCCACGGGAGACCCGCCCCAGTGCCAGCACATGCCCCGAACAGGGTTACCTGTGAAGGTAAGGTTAGTTCGAGGAGGTCCCCGACGGTGACTGCAGTATTGACCTATCACTTTCCTATCCCCTCCATCCAAAGCCGGCTAAAATGGCAATCGCTGGCCGAAATGGCTCCAATCCAAATCAACAAGCGCGCGACGGCAGCCGCTTACCTTCACGGACATGCTTCCGGCGGAAATCTCGTGCTCGGTCGAGCCGGCGCGGTGCGGCCGGCCGGCGGCCCCTGCGAGCGGCTGCTGACGTCCTGGCCGGTCCCGAGTCAGCCCGTCGCCGTCCGCAGGCGCGGCTGGACGGCAGCCCCTGCGAGCGCCTGCTGACGCTCTGGCCGGCCCCAAGCCGGCCCGTCGCCGTCCGCCCACGCGACGAGTCTGGGCGGGCGACGCTGGCGGCGTCTGGCGGCGACAGCTGGGCACCACGCCTACGGCCCGCGTGGCGGCGCCACCCGTTCCGAGGCAGCGACGGCACCTGCATGATCGACAGGGAGGTAGCGCCTCGCGTGATGGCGTCATGAATAGATTCCCACTGCAGACCCCGAAACTCTGAGAGGAGCCATCATTAAACTTGAGTTTGATATCGCGAGCAAAACTCGGAGACTGCTGTCGCCTTCGAAAAAGCCGCGCACTAGCCGGTGTAGATGCTACCACGGCCAACTAGCTCAGTTATCTGCACCTCATTCGACCCTCTTATCCTCTATCTTGCTTCATCCTGCATCCTCGCGACGCCCCACTTGTCCGGGGCAGGCTGCACGCGTCAGCCCCGGGTGGGCCGAGAGCCCCGTGGGAAGGGGGACCCCGACTGGGTACCCAGCGCACATGCGCGGGTTAGAGCTCGGCGGTTGGCCCCCAGGCGCATGCAAGCCTGCCCCGCCGTTAACTATTTTCCTTCCTCCATAGCCTGAAATGATAATTTCTGGTCGAAAGGGCTCTTATCTAAACAACCAATCTACGCCTGTCTCCACCTTCAGTCATTCACAACGGTGATCAGGGCAATGCATGCACAGCAATCCCTTGTCAGTGTAATTCCATTGTCAGTATCTTCACGAGCGATCTTCCATGCTGCATGCAATATGGGCGTCTAGTGTCGTGCATTGATGGCGTCCAACTGTCAAGCCCCGTGCATCCTGATAAAAAATGTATCGTGATATCCCGGCCAGGAGAACCTTCCTACCAAACCCCGCTAACCGCCCAAAGGCTGGAAAATTTACTCGTCCAAAACTACCTCCGCTTCGTGGTAGTGAGCAGCATGAGAACATGAGAACAGCATCAGGTAGTGAAAGAAGTGAACATTAAAAACATCAGCATCCCTCAATCTTGGCGTTGCTGGCCCAGCTAATCCTTTCGCTGACTGTGAAGCTGCCGGGAGTTACTATGGATCATGCCCTGTCCTCGAAGGACCCAATACCCACGGGGAGCAATCACACAAAGAGTACGATCCCATCCTCCTCTGTTGATATAAGGCACGTCGCTGCCTTATGTACGAGGTCCATGAAGTCCTAATCCAAACCCATTTCTTCCTACGCCCTTTATTTTATCCCCTGGTTATCTCAAGAACACCTGGGCCGAATTCAAATATTTTAATCGTAATCGATTGCACCTTGGTCTCAGAAGAATTAAGTTTTAGTGTGTATTAAGGTGACATATCGGAGTGAAATTCTAAAAAAAAAACTTTCTTTAAAATATCTGGCCGCTCCCACAATGCATTTCAGTTAGAATTGTATCGCGTGGCGTGAAATCCTTGCGGCTTATCAGACCTGTCACGTAGGAAAGGCGTTCAATGTTACACGCGTCGTGCCAGGCCTAGAGCCAAGGTCACATGCCGAGCGATCGAGAGCTCAAACCTTGGTGTATATATCTGTTTTGGTCCATCTGTTTCCGTTACATTTTTACCACCTAAACACGAGGCGGAAGAGCTAAGTCGCAATGATGGGGTATCAGACGCTTGAGCAACAGCGGTTACTTGTTTGTAAGCCGCCTGAGGTCAAGGTCAAATGAATGCCCTCGATGGGGAAAAACGCTTAGATCGGTTTTCGCGTTGTTTTCGATAGTTGAGTCTTGCCAACAGTGTAATCTGATGCCCTTCAATCCTGCAGCCAGTCCTGTGGTCGTTGGTTGGCGTGTAAAACTGATAAATGGCTTCCGCCGCTCCGTCATCTCGCCGCCGCGGCAGACCTGAGCCCCGCCGCCCACCGCCGTGGGCTGGGCCCACCTGGGTATGGGCAGCATGCGCTGTGATGCATTTCAAGCCATAACTCAGTCATAATTACAGAGAACTGCTTGAAACTTGGTACAGGCATCTTTTATGGTCGTATCTAGAATACCTCCCTTATGTTCTTCAAACGTTGCTGGCTCACTCTTCTCTTCATCAATTCACACTCTTCATCAATATCTTAAGTTCACGCACCAGTTTTTAACGTGCAACATTGAATTAACCCAACGACCAAGCATATTAATGATCGACTTACTTCCGCTCACAGATGTAAAATATGCTCTTTCGCTTGACCCACGTTCATTTGTTTTCCGCTATCAACTCTTGAGAAAAAATCGGCAAGGGTGGCGTCACTACGCCGTCACTTACGCTTACTTTATTTTGGTCTCGAAGTCGTTATTTTGGCACAAGGCGTATAACTCATCAATTCACAACTCATGATAATATCGCAGTGACATCTTGAAGCATTTTTGAATATCGCGAATATCGGACAAGGGGCAGACTTGATCCCCGCCGGTCAATGTCGGATCCAGCTGCCATCTTCGGCGTTTTTGCGACCTCCAGCTGGTTTGAGCCACCGCCGCCCACATAAGTCACTCTTGAAGCACAAATATCGAGCTATCGCGCGCTTCAGAACATACGAATAACTTTGCAAACTAAAGAAGAGACGGTTAAGGACACAGTGACACTGCACGGGGAACTAACATCCAACAAGCCGCGTAGCATAAAAAAACGTCCCGCAGACCGAAAATCGCAGCATCAACCCCAATCGTACCGAAAGATCCTACATCGACAATTTCCAAACAGTGTCACAAACTGTACACTGTCGAAGAGCGTAGCTCGGCCCATTTAATTCGAGCGCTCGCCCACGCAAGCACGCCGTGCTGGGTCTGTCTGCCCGGTGTTTGGTCGTCGCGCGGCCGAATCACCGTCAGGGGTCGCGGCACTCAATGACCACGGATATGACGTGCGTCGCAAAAATAAACACAAAACCTCATTGCCGCTCGTCAAACAAAGCAATCAATCCTCCGCGTATATTTGTTGGCCACAGCCGCGATTCGAATCGCACACCGTCCCCATTCCGGCCGCCGCGCCCCGGCCGAACAGAACGGAGGCGCCCGGTGCGCCGTAACAGTGCGCCGTAACAGTCCAGAGCGCCGCCGCACCCCGGCCGCCGCGGCGGGCGCTGCCGGCGAAACGGGCCAGTGCCGGCACACAACTTCCCACACGGCAACAACAGTCCGGTCCAGGCGCCAGCACGTGATGCCTGCTACAGGCCGGGCCCGGCTCTCGACCAGCGGGGCACACCAGCGGGTCTGGAAGCGCCCCAGGGAATGGCACGCCCGCTCCACTACGGGTTGTCAACGTCTAGGCACAAAGCGATGGTCGTCAAAACGGTGTAGGATCGGTACTTCTACGGTCATTTCACCATGCTGCGTCCAATGGGGCCTGAGCACAGCTTCGTTTGTCTTTTCCGCGCCATAGCAACGCGTGTAAATGAACCAGAGACAAAGAACGAGAGTATCACGAGCCAAATGGCGACTGCGTTTGCGCCAAAAAATGGCTTCCGGTCACGCGCGCCGCGTCGCGGTCACAAGCGGCCGCCACCCAACGACAGGGCGACGGCGCAGGCACGCGAAACACGTGGTCTTTGGCACCAAGCTTACGAAAGATTCCAATCAGATCAAAAGTGAAGTAAGAATATATCAATTTCGCACGGCTTGCCTGGCCCACCCGTCCAGCCCAGCCCAAAACTGCTCCGTGACCAACAGGCGAACACAGCTATTCCCGAGTTACAGGCGACCCGCCCCTGCGCTTGGCCGCAGCATGGAAGAGACTGCGCTGTTGGACGCAACACTATCGGGAAGACTATGGCTAGCCGGCGCAGCGGCAGCGTGACACGGCGTCGCGACGCGCGGCTACGGCCGCGGCCCATCCCGCCGTCCCACCCACGCCGCGCGCCGGCGGGCGGACACGGCGGCCCGGCGCCGGCAGACCATGCGCGCCACTCGCGGCTCAGAGGCGGACGGCTGCGGCGGCCGCCGCCGGCGACGCGCGTCCACCGCTCCGCTGGCGGCGACGGCGAACGTCTGCAGACGGCCAGAAGGCTCGTTCGGCGCCGACCGGCCCGCGGTGATCCGTCGGTCAAACGGTCAAACGGCGTCACAGATCGCCAGGCGCTCGCCCCGGTCAGCATCGCCCGGCCGGCCAACGACGGGCGTCAACAAACAACACCGAGCCGTAACAACCTCCATCCTCACCAGCCTCGAAGATTGCACGCAGTTCGCCTGCGCCTCGCCGGACGACAAGCCGCCCACCGAGCGCCAGAGTCAGGCCTCCCTCCCCCCCCCCCCCCCCCCCCCTCCCGCGTCCCACGCCGTCCGAGCCGCGCGCTGTCACAGAAGCGTCGACACGGCAGCGGATCGTAGCCCACACAAGCGGGTAGCACCACAAATACTGGCCTATCGGCTAAAGCCGGCCCGAGAGGCAGCTGTCTGCATCGTCCGCGCGGACGACGTCTTAGCTACTCCTGCAATCCCTTCGCAGGAGGTCCCTCAGCCACGCTTCCCGGCCACTTCACCGTCTCGGCCGCGGCAGTGGGGCGCGCTCCGGAGACGCCCCCAGTCTAGCTGAAGCGGAACGTGCCGAACTGCACCAGCCGGATGGTGTCCGAATAGATGAGATACTTGACGACCGGCTTGGGCAGCGGCAGCTGCGCCAGGCGTGCCAGCTGGCGGCGGCCCAGCTGGCGCCGCAGCAGCAGCCGGCACAAGTTCTGCAGCGAATGGGGCGTGCCTGCGACGGCCGGCGGGAGGTCACACGCCGGCTGCGGACCGGGTCCGCCGGCTCCACTCACAGGGCGGGACACGGTCGGCGGGAGTGGGGATAATGACGGCTGAAATGCGCAGTCTGCCTGCCTAGCAGTGCCAAGCACAGCGCATCTTGTGGACAGAACGTCGCACAGGGTAGTGAGACGGTGTTTTTAGCTACCCTTTGCATTCAGCTTCAACGCAATACACCGCAGAATAAATGC